TCAAAGGCCCAAATTTGTCAGCACCGTTAACATCATCACTTGTTCTGGACCAGAAGCCCAACTAATCTATGCCTCAGCCCCTGTTTGGTCTCCATTATAATTTAGGAAAATGTTTCTTATATATAACTATTTAACGACACATTCTCCAATAAAATAGTATTACACGTAAATTTAAAAATTTTCCTTCTTTTTTAATCATACATCCTTGAAAAAAAAATCACTATTCCAAAATATATTATCCAAAAAAACTCATTATAATAATGAATCCCAAACATGGGGCTTAATTCCATTACACAAAAAGGGCCCAATAGATACCAAGAATTTAAGGGTAGGTTTGGCACTGCTTAATTATTTACAAAAGCAGATTAAACATAATTTTTATCCACATATCTCATAAAATCTATAACTAACTATTCCATTATAATTCATACATTTTAAAGATTCACTATTTATAAATACTTAACCTCTGTTTGGCCCTCGTTAAATTTATAATTCATTTTTTTAAATCTTCTTATCAATTACACATTTTTTAATAAAATAATATTACACGTAATTTGATTTTTTTTAATTTATTAACTATATATATATATTATTTCAATAATTAAAATTTCAAATAAAAGGGGTCAAACGGGATTACACACACTGGTACCGTGGTAAGAATGATGGGACATAAGAGAGGGAAGGAAAACCTATTATCCACTGCGCTTTTGTAATTCTTGGGCGTGACATGCTGGCACACTGTGTCACGCTGTGAGAATGCTTGTCCCCCCATTCGACATGGCGAGGACGCTAACAGCTAGGTGCGATACATATTTTACCAAATAGTGCACTAATGATATGTGATCATATGTAAGTATTCTCCCCTACATCCTTTTCATAGCATGCGTTTATGCTAGTTGTTCGAGCTTGACAGCCTCAGAACGAGGGGAAAGTGGCCTTAAGGAGTTGTACCTCGGGGACAAAATTGCGGTCCGTGAAAGTTGGTATCAGAGCGGGTCCGCTCGAGCATGCAGTGTTGTTATGGGACAATGTCGTGTGTTCTTGCGGAGAAAAGATTTTGGGCCACTGATCATGTCAGCAAGCTGGCGGAATAGACGAAAGAAGCTGTCTGTAAGAAGAATGAAAAAGAGCATCGTTGCGTAATTGCCTAGGTGCATTCAAGGAGTTTTCGAGGAGCATACATTGCAGGGGTTTTCAACATGCGTTGAGGCGCTGCGGTTTAGAGGTCGTCCACCCGAGGAACCAATGCTCAGAGAAGCGGAGGGTGAAGGTCAGCGTCGAAGGCGGTAAGTACAAGTTACTGTAGGTTTGTGAACGCATGTCCATATAGAGTGATGCCGTTATTATTCTTGCAATGAGATGGATGCGTGTTGATGCGAAATTCACTTCTCGCTACGAGAACGTAAACGAATTCAAATGGGGGAGAATGTTACGCAGTGAGAATGCTTATCTCCCTATTCGGCACTACAATAATGCTAATAGCTAGGCGCGAGACCTATTTTACAAAATAGTGCACTAATGATATATGATCATATGCAGGTGTTCTCCCTAACATCCTACTCATAACATGCGTTTATGTCTGTTGTTCGGGCTTGCCGGCCTCAGAATGAGGGGAAGGCGGCCTTGAGACGTTGTACCTCGAGAGCCAAAATTGCGGTCCGTGAAACACTGGGCGGCTGAAGAGCGAAATTAATTAATTGTAAATTTTTTTAGTTTTTCAACATAAAATGTTTTTTGTGTAAATGTCCAGTAATTGAAAATTGTTTGCAATTGTGTTATAATTATGTTTGTTCGAAAAATTATATCAAAAAACTTGGCACCTCATTGGTTCAGCTAAAAAGTTAAATTAAAATTTTAGTCAAAATCAATAATTAACCTCAACCACGTATTTTATGGGACGTATAAATTTTCATCTACACAATACATGGACTTCTCTTAAAATTTATTAAAATTTTAATTTTAACGAAATAGGGGCTTAATTAAATAAAAAATCATATTCATTTCAATCATTACAATATTATCCGAAAATAGTAGTACTTACAAGTAAATGAGTAATACTATTTGTAAATCATTGTGTACATAGCCTTGTTTGATCCCCATTATTTTGAAAATACATTTTTTTTTCAATTTTCTTTTCAATCGCACTTTCTTCAATAAAATTATATTACATGCAAATTCAAAAAATATCCTTATTTTTTAGCCACATATTCTCCAGTAATTTATTATTCCAAAATACATTCTAAAAAAAAAATGAGGGTAAAAAAAGCCCCTTATAATATAAATAATATGGAAGAGAAATAAAAATTGTAACAATTAAATTTCTTGTCTCTCTCCCTCCTCCTTGCATTTCTCTCTTTTTAATAGAGTTAATTGTTCCAATGGTTATCGAACTTATGTTTATATTTTTAATTGTTCATTGAAATTTAAAGTATCGAGTTTTGGCTATTGAATTTTGAAAAACGTTGGACGTTACTCACCGCTATAACTCTTGTTTAAAATCTCTAATGGAATTGGTGACGTGACTGACGGAATGCACACGTAGCGTCTTGTCACGACATTAAACTCTGAGATAGTCGAATTTTGACCACTAAACTTTAAAAAACGTTTTTGATTGCTCATTAAATTTTGAAAAACATATTTTATTACTTACCGAACTTTGAGGTGGTCAAATTTTGGTCAATAAATTTTGAAAAATGTCTTATATTCCTCACAATAAATAAGTGAATTGTTTCAATAATCACAACTTATACCATGGTCAAGGATTGCTCACTGAATTTTAAAGTGCTTCGCAATGCTCATTAAATTTTGTCTGTTTGCACTCCATCGATCACCCTAAAAAATCCGTTACATTATTCGCTGATGTGGCTAACGGAAATTTGATGGGGCAAGTTATGGCCGTTAAAAAAATGGCAACTCATCGAAACAATTGTTTCATTACTTATCCAACTTGCATTTGGTCATAGTTTACTCATCGAACTTCAAAATGCTTCACAATGATCATTCATCTTTGAAATGTTGCACTCTTTTTGTCATCCACTATATTTTGTTCCCTTCATTCCTAATGTATGCACAAAAATTCCACATGATAAGTTGCCAATGTTAAAAAAAATTGCAACTCAACAAAATTTAATTCACCAAAATCAGCATATGTGAAACGTGGCTTCCATGGCCCCCATCACCTTCTTTAAACCCCAATAAAGCGTCCTCAATGATTATTTTAGAAATATCATTTTTCTAATTCGAACATTTATTGTGTAAAAAATAGGTTTTAATCTGAAACTGAAATCCTGAAGCATAACTTGTTTGGTTGGAACGTTTACCATATATGAAACGCGACTTCCACATCTCATAAACTTATTTAAAATCCAATAAAGCATCCCTAGGCAAGTTATAAGGTGTGGAAATCGCGTTCCATATATGGTAAACGTTCCAACCAAACAAGTTATGTTTTAGAATTTCAGTTTCAGATTGAAGCCTATTTTGTGCACAATAAACGTTTGAATTAGAAAAATGATATTTCTAAAAGAATCATTTGGACGTTTTATTGGGTTTTAAAGAAGTTGATGGGGACCGTGGAAGTCACGTTTCACATGTGGTGATTTTGGTGAGTAAAATTTTGTCGAGTTGTAATTTTTTTTAACATTGGCAACTTACCACATGGAATTTTTGTGCTAACATTAGGAATGAAAAGAACAAAATATAGTGAACGATGAATGAAGTACAACATTTCAAAGATGAGTGACAATTGTGAAGTATTTTGAAATTCGATGAGTGAACCGTGACCAAGTATAAGTTGGATGAGTAATGAAACAATGGTTTCGTTGAGTTGTCATTTTTTTAACCGTCGTAACTTGCCACGTCAAATTTTCGTTACCCACGTCAGCGAATAATGTAACGGATTTTTGAGGGTGATGGACGGAGTACAAATGGACAAAGTTCAGTGAGCACTGTGAAACACTTTAAAGTTTAGTGAGTAATCCATGACCATTGTACAAATTGAGTGATTATTGAAACAATTCACTCCACAATAAATTTGGATTTAATTAAAATTTGTTGTTAAAATTTGAATTTAATTTTAGTTTTATTGGATTTTAAAGAAGTTTATGAGGTGGAAATCGCGTTTCATATATAGTAAACGTTCCAATCAAACAAGTTATGTTTCAGAGTTTCAGTTGCAGATTGAAATATATTTTGTGCACAATATACGTTTGAATTAGAAAAAGAGTTGTGCTGCTGTGCCAGGTCTGTAAAAGACCTGGCACAGCCATGTGAGATATGGTGGGTGGGTGTTTTAACATTTTTGGGGGGTTTTTTTAATGAGTTAGGTTCTCGGGACCCACCTTATGTGAGATAGTCTGTACAAAATCTGTGAACCAAAATCTGGTAGAGTAGAATAATTCNGTGCAAATGAATAAAGTTCAGTAAGTACTATGAAATACACTATAAAGTTTAGCCCCTGTTTGATCCACATTATTTTTTTCATTCTTATTCTTCTACTCATTTTCAACCGCACATCTTTTAATAAAATAATATTTTCTATCACATCAATAATTTTTTCTTCTTTTTCAACCGAGAAATGTTATTCATCCCCACTGGGGATGCATTCTCAATATATGTGGCGTTAATGTGTAATTAAATGATAGGTGAAAGTCATTTAATTTCACCTATCATTTAACCAATTATTTATATCCACATGGACTGAGGATGCATCCCCACTGGGGATGAATAGTATTTTTCTTTTCAACCACATATTCTCCATTATATCACTTCAAAAAAATGCATTCTCTTATTTTCACGTGCACCAAACAGGTTCAGGTTCTTAGTAGTCTGTGGGGTGGTGATCGAAACAATTCACTGGGAGGACGGAGAGAGCTTCAACTTTTTGTACTCCAATTTGGCCATTCCCGCTTACGAACGTTCCCCCGTCCCTCCAATTTTCATTTTCATTTTCATTTTCATGCCCTAATTTTTAACCCCAAATCCGTGACAAAAATTCTACAATGGCGGATCAAGACTACTTAGCATACCTATCACTCCTTATAGAGAGGGGAATTAGCCCATCAGGACTCAGTGAATACTTGCACGCAGAAGACGGTGATGATGAAATGGACAGCGATTCCGTCAGACTGCCGCCAAATGATAGTCCTAATTCTGCTTCCGTTGCGACTTCGTCTCAGGAGTCTGTAGATGTTGATGATTCGGCTGTTGAGAGAGACGACGTCGTAGTGGTGGAGGATGAGGATGAAGATGGCAGTAATGAGAGAAGAAACTATAATAATAGCGAAGGTGGTGAAACTTCATCGTCCAAGGATAATAAAGACGAAGAAGAAAACGTGGATGCAGAAGGGGAGTTCAACAGGGATGAAATTGATGGCTTAATTTGCCCCATTTGCTTCGAGGCTTGGTCGTCTGGCGGTGACCATAGGGTCTGGTCCGTGCTTTATGTTATTGTACTGTACTATTCTCTTTTTTCTCGTTTAATATGTAGCTGCTTAATTCATTTTTATTCTCTCTGTTTTTAATGTTAGTTGTCTTCCATGTGGCCATATATATGGTTTGGTTTGCATCAAGAAATGGTTGCAGGGTCGAGGCTCAGGCAAGGTAAATTAATATTTAGTCATCCACTTCTTTTTTTTTCCCCTTTAACTCAAAAAGTTCTGGGTTTCTTCTGGTTTCAGTGTCCACAATGCAAAAAGAAATGCTCGTTAAAGAGTATTCGAGTACTATATGCGTCTCGGATTGCTGCTATTGACGAGGAGTTACAAAAGGTGATACTTTGATTTAGGTTTGTGCTGGAGAAAATCTTGATTTTTTTTGTTTTCTTAATTTACTTGATTTTGTTCTGCAGAAAGTTCGGTCTCTGGAAGCTAAATGTTCTTCTCTCAAGGAAAAGGTAAAAAAAATTACTACCGACCAATAAAGTTTACAATTTTCTCTTCTGATACTTCATTGGATATGATCTGACTTGGAGTTCATATAAGTGAAAGCGTGATGTCTAGTTTAAGAACAGAATGACGTGGCCTAAATGGTCATTTGACTCATATAAGGCACGAATGCTTTTGTGGATTTTGTATGTACTTTCTTTGCAAGAAGCATTCTAAATGGGCATTTGACTCATATAACAATTGCTTACCACGAGGAATGCCCCAAAAGTGTTTTCTGCTCCAGATTGCAGGAATGTTAATATACTTGATCATTAGCTACTGTTGCTTAGCTCTTGGCTGATGGGGATTATTTTACTTGTATCTGACGCCTATAAACACATGGAGCTTCCATCAAGTGGAGTCCATTGCTAGCATGAAGTGACAACATCTAATTGTTTGATAATCTTTACTTGAACTTCATTGAATTTTCCTCTATTGTATGTATTTGTCAGAAGATTGTCCTTCTAGTGCTTGTGCTTTTGTATAAGACATAGTTTGTTATCTTTTGATGGGAACTTTTAATTTCTTATCAGGAGGGTTACAAAATAAATCCTTCCTTAAGTTCTATAACATCTGACGGTGGATTGTAATTTGTTGTCCTTGGTCTCTTTTATTGCCCTGCCACTTCCAAATTTGATGATCAATTCTGCTAATTTACATCATTTAAATTTTGATGGAAGCATCCTTGATCTACTTTTGAATGGAAACTTATCATATTTATGAACACCTGTTCTAAATGTTGGCTTATTGTCAACATGAGATGCTCGATAGCTTTTGACTTCTACTTTTTCAACCCTGGATATGCCATGGTGATCTGTTGCCATGATCATAGTGAGATATGGCTATTTTCTTTAGAGGAATAACTGAGACATGGCCTTGAAATCATAACTGAAACACTTGAGCGAATTGGAATTTCCCTCCTTGAAAGTTTTGTTCTTATTATTTTTGCCCTCGAGTGTCTATGCTGCTTCCTGCTTATTTCTTTAATGAATAATGCTTGCAGAATGATGACTTGTCTGAAAAGCGAGTTGAATGGCAGAAGAAAGAAGCTGATTTGTGCATGGAAGTGCACTATCTCAAAGAGGCATGTGCATTTTATTTTTAACTTAAAATCAATTACGTGGTTTCTCCCTTTTTTTTGGGGTGGGTAGTTAGGGTGTTAAATATTTTTCTAATTTTCGTGTCCTTGAACTTCTTTCCTTGTGGCTTCTTATGTCATGCATATATAGCATTCTCAATATATTAGCTATAGAATAGTGTCACTATTGTGATTTTAGGGTAGGACACTCAGCTCTTGTTTGGTGGGGATTAAAAATAGATTTTTAGTAGATTTTGATAAAATACGCGGTTGAAAAGTTGTTGGTCTCATCACTCATGAAATGTGTGCTTAAAATTAATTGTTGAATTTGACTTATAAAATTTTGATTTTAATCAATACCAAACAATGACTTAATGTCTAATGCTTGATATTGAAAATGTCTCGTTAGATTGGTTGTCTCCGATCATTTATTCCCTATTTGTCTCCCTTTAAACAAAACTCTTACTCATTCTCGACCACACATTCTCATAATAAAATATTTTGTTTACTTTTTAACCCCACGTTCTTTAAAAAATCACTATTCAAAACATCATTTTTTCTCAATAGGGGCCATACACAGTGGTTTAGGGCCCGTTTGGCATGACTTTTGCTTTTATTTTTACTTCCTGTAAAAGAGCTTTTGGAAGAAGTTATCTTAATTTTTGTTTGGAAACTAATTTTTAAAAGAATTTCTTATTCTGGAAGTAATTGTAGACGAAGCTACGCTGAACTAACTCCCTCTGAAAGATCTTCTAACTACCAAAATCACTTAAACAAAATTAGCCAAATGGGCCCTTAGCATTTTTAAGATTTTCATTTACTAAACATTTCTTATCAAGCATTATTCACGTGATGTAAAATTTAAACTTTTGCCCATGAGGTAGATGGTGTCTTTGCAACCATCTGTTATCATGTGCATTTACATAGTTGAACTCATAATTCATGGACCAGATTCGTGTTCAGACTCTTTTGCTTCAACTATTATTTTCATTCACCATATTGTTATTTTTCTCTTAACCAATACATCTTATTATTAGAGAAAGGCCAATACATTTGCTTATTGCTGGTTGTATTTTGTCTTACTCTTACCTGCTGTTCCTCTTCGGCTTGTTGTTTATGTACTTTTTTTTTTAATAAAAAGAGTTCAAAGGACTTCAAACACCTCCCCCGCCCCCCACATAAAGGTGGCTCAAACCTAGTCCATTAGCATGGGATGGCTTCTCTCTTAGTCTCTTACCACATGAGTTAAGCCTTGGCATACTAAGAACTGGTAATCGAGTAGTATAACTATCTTAAATACAAATTTTTGGTTTGAGGGAATTTTTTAATACCAATAGCTTTGCCTAGTCTCAATTTTCTTTTACATTTGACATTCCTTATTCCTCGAAAAACTCTGATCTAGCAGACAACACGCTACTTGGAGGGTCTATTAGAAGGTGGGAAATCCAGACCATCGGGGTCATCTGTGGCTAGGAGTGGTTGTCAAGGAGAAGTTATTCTCGGTAACCATTTTTCCAAAAAATTTAATTGTTGGACGGTATTATAATTAGGTCCTGTCTCCTTGTCTTGGAATTCTGAACTTCACGTTTTTTGTAGGAGACGTCGTTGAACAAGAGTTTTACCGGCAAGGATCTTCAAATAGTTTTATGTTGCAGGTTTGAATTCTACAGAACTCTTATAGTATTATAATTTGTTAGAAACATAGCCTGTAGTTTGCCGTGTCTGAAATTTTATATAACTCGATAGGATTAAGAAGTGTACATATATAAAGAAATGATCTACTAAGCTCTGCTGCTTAGCTTATGCTAAGCAACATTGACATGACATATCATTTAATTGGTGGATTACAATCAAGTATTATTATCCAACAGAAAGAAAAAAAAAACATTTCAACATTTGAAAAAGATAAACCAACTTAAATGGCGATTTTCAATTATTTAGGGCTATTATATTAGAAAACTTAAGGCACAAAGGACTTCCTTTTCAAATTGACAGGCTGTTGTCTGGGAGGAGTTTAGGTTGGATGTTTTAATTTTTGATTCTTAATGTTGCCGATGTCAAGTCAATCATACTGGATTAGGTTGTCTTTATATCGTTGCGTTAAAGACAATCATTTCTGGTTCTCCTCCCTCTATTTATTTGTTTTTTGGCATGGCTTAAGAGTTCATTTAATGGAAGCATTATTTAGTAGGCTTGTTAAGTTGTAAACACGTCTGTAATTTTTTGTAGAAAGACTTACAAGTAGATGGTGCACGTATTTTCGATGTTGATTCATCGAGTCAGATTTTGATAATTGCTCGAAGGCTATCAGGAATGGGAACAATGAATGTGCTCACTAAGGTAAAAGTTATTTTGGCCTTCTGAAACTGGATTTAACAGAATCTTGCATCTATTCAAGGTTATTGATAAATTCAGCCCATTAATATCCTCTATTATGCTTGGTCAGAGAGCGGATGAATGATGTTGTATAAACATCTATTTAACTTCTCGTACTGGTGCATTTAACAGATGAGCTTGATACCTTCGCATGAAAAAGAGGACATTCATCTCCCTGTGGGATTTAAAGCAGTCAAGGACCTGCGGGTTTCTCCTCATGCTAGACTTGTGCTATTGGCTTCCTTAGGGAAGAAATTATCAGTGGTTAGGTGGAGCTGCTCACTTTCTCCTTGTATATATAAACACCAGAAAAGAGTGTCTCTTAAAGCATTTATTATGTGCTTTTCTCACTGAAGTATATGACTTATTGTTCATTGGTTTCAGCACACAAAGCAATAATACCGTTCTTACTTATGATTTACCGGTAATAATTCTATGCCTTGTATCTTTTTTATTGTTTCTCAGTCTGATTGCATACGCTTGAATGTTAGATAAAAGCTCTTACATGTCTTGTACCTGCTACTTCAATTCTATGGCGAATGATGAATGAGTTCTATTAAGGATTTATAATTCTATGTCAAAATTGTTTGCGTAAAGGCGAGAAAATATAAAATTGACATAAAGAGACAAAGAAGGGACATAGTGAACACTGAACAGAATGCTTACTAACAGAGTGGGGGTAGAGAAAGAAAAGAAACAAGGAAGCAAGAAGAAATAATAGGAAATGATGAAAGAAGAGGGGATGGCAGGAAGATCTCAAATCTGGGCAAGTGGTTAAAAAGGAAAAAATGAAGGGGAAAAAGTTTTGGTTTGGTTCAGTTCTAGATCATCCAGTTTGGTCTGGTCCAAAAAACTAGGCTGGTGTAGTTTGCTTTTCTCAGATGGGATCTCTTGAACTGTCAAGAATTGGACATTTATGACATTCCTAGATTGAACTCACTCACCCTCAATGTTAACTGGACTGGTTTATGGCCATAATAGGGCTATCCACACTAGCCCGAATGCCATCCTCTTAGTGTGTGCTGTGGTCAGGCAAACTATTGTAGGACATTAATGTGCATCGTGAGAGGATATTGTCGATTAGGTTGACTGAATAATCAACTGAAGTAAAAAGGCTTGAAGGGAGTCGAGGTTGGTCAGAATTCAGCAAGCACCCGTGCTTTATGTTAAAGGATGTGGAACATTGATTGCAGTATTTTCCTAAGCCTGTGAATGCACACTGATGAACTTTTGCATGTATCTGGTGGTTGATGGGCAATAGTTAAAGAATAGTAGATAAACACTGGAAACTTTTGGAGTTTCAGCTGAAACTGAAATTGGGATTGTTTGACATTTTATACAATTGAGGAGAAACATTTGGCCATTTGGGCTGGTAGAGGGAATATTTTTGGAGCACATTACAGCCTACCTTTTTTTGTGGTATTTTACATAATATGAGTACAGATTAAACTGATTTTTATTTTCTTCTGTTTTTGTAGTAATAGATTGTGTCATCATCGTTTTAGACCCATTTCTGATTTTTTACCATCAAAACAGGAGCAGAGAAGTAAACTAAATTGAAGAATGGTTGATCAGAATCTTGTAAACTTTCATTAGGATCTTTTTTTTTTGGTGGTTATTTTTAGTTGACGAAACTGTTACTAATAAGAAGTGGCAACTTTTTAATAGAACTGGGTACTACTTTAAGTTGCCTAATTGATGTTGAATTTGCAGGCGGCTGCGTGGTCATGTTCCTGGGATCTCAGCAACTCGCATTATATATATGCTGGATTACAGGTTTGAATGATGTGTTTGTTTCCCATCGATTTGCATTGTTGCTGTTTTACTTATACCTTATATATTTTAGTGTTTAAAATCTTACAGAATGGCATAGTAGTGCAGTTTGACATGCGTCAAACCATGAAGCCTGTGGAATCCATTAATGGGTTGACGGACAACCCAATTCATACTGTATACTCTCTTTCTGCTGGTTCAACTGTCAGCTGTGGTGTTAAAGGCGTCCTTACTGCCTCGTCCGTTGGTTTATGTCATTGGGACTTTGGTAGAAGTGGAAGAAGGTAGTTTTTGTCTTCTTTCAATCATGCTGTACATTGTTCTTTTGGTCTATAGATTTGAATCCTAGGAGTTAAGACATTTTTGGAATGGAAGGGATTGAAGAGAATACTATAGCCCTCTTCCTTCCTTTCTTTAATCTATAGGAGATCAAAGTGATTGCATTCTAGTATTTCCAAGGAGTTTGATGATTTTTTCATTAAAGCTCATCTTTTATTTTCTGTTGGGAAGTGCTGGAAGTTGAGAGGAACTGCTCGGTGGAAGAGCAGTTTTCTCAATAAGTGGTTCGAAAGAATTCTGTTTTCTTTTCTCTATAATTTGTTCTAGAAGGAATTGTTGTTTGTTTAACAAACAACAGAAGCGTTTCTTGGAACCAGAACCTTGGCAAGTACACACTCTGAGCTTCCATCTTTATTGTTTGTCACCAGTGTTATCTTTGGGCAGATTGATTAGGTGCCCACTGAAGTCATTTTCTTCAAGAACATGACAGAGGCACATTTCAATTCTCCCTTCTATTTTGATGTATAGATAAACTATGCTGTGTTTTCTTCCTTTCCTTCATTATGGAGAATATTTCTTCAATTTTTGTTTGCGTTTGCGCATGCCTAGGAAATTGTGTTCTTAGTCTCTTTTAGCCTAGAATCTCGTTGAAGTTTCTGCTCTAGCTTTAAAATTTGTTGTCCCATTTTTGTTTCAATAAAATACAGTTTGGACAATTTGATTTGAACGGGCTAATTTAACTTTCTGCATATTGTGAGCAGCCTTCAAGAACCTTTATGAGTTGAATAATTGGATTGAGGCATTGTGCATATGGCATTGAAAGGGTTCTTAAGTTTTAGTTTTCCATCATTTCCTGCCTTTTCCGTTTTATCCTAGCCACCATTCTCCCCCTTATTGCGACATATCAATACAAAGATGTGCAAGATGGCCTTTTGCAATGTTTGAAATAGTTCTGTCTTTTGTCGATTCCTTCTAGACTAGGTGGGTTCTTTGGAGACTACCTTTCTTTCGAGCACATAGACTAGCACAAACAATCTCATATTTACAGATTATATTGAAGGATAGGCTTCCCTTACATTTTTTAATCTTTATTGCAGGCCATATTTAATTCCAGGATCTGAGAATCAAGGAGTTTGCATATCTCTTGCTTATTCTCCCTCCAGCGATGACATTGTTGCTTCATTTCGTCCTAAAATTGAGATATCTGGTGACTTGACTATTACTCAACCTACACTTAGTGCTTCTGCTTCTCTTTCTGGGGAAGGAGTACAGGGATCTCATGTTCTTTACAATAGAGTTGGTGGTAGATATGAAAAATTAGGAGCGACTTGTACCAATGTGAGTGGTATCCGACTCCCAAAATCTGCAATAGTAGATGGAGTGTCTCAGAACCCTTTGTTTGCTTCTGGGGATGAAGTAACAAGTGAATTGGTGTTGCAAGATTTACCATCTTTGACTGTTGTTCAGCATCTTCAATCTCGAAAATATCCCATTCGGGATATGAAATATGCAAGCATCTTAAACTCAGGAGTACTTGGCTGCCTGGCCGAGGATTCCTTGCAACTATTCTCAACTAAGCTCCTCTAAGGTAATATTGCCAGGGCTCTTATCATGTGCATTTTAGGACTATTACTCTATCATGCATGCTTTGTTCCTTTTTGTTAAGCGAAATTTTATTGCTTGGTTTTGAAACTGTATGTCTAGTATCTGGATGTTCATTGACTTAATCAATTTACAAAGAGTATAGATACTCAGACAGTTATGCTCCTGCATTAAGAGTCGGTTCTCCCTGAATCTTTGGAGAATTTACCCTCTCTCTCTCCCTACATATAGTTAGGGCTGGACATGGGGTCGGTTCGGTTCTCTTCAGAACCGAAACGACCCAAAAAATTCGGGTATTTAACAAAAGGAACCGTCGGGTCCAAATATAATTAAGGAACCGTTTGGGTTCGGTTCCGTACCATAATTAATTTTTTTAACACTACATAAATACAACTAATGACATGTTCATTCGTAAGCTTTACAAATTAACGTAGCCCAAGTTAAAAGCTTATAAATAACAAGCTGTCCAATAAGATTAATTCAATGTATACAAAAATCAAAAAGTAGATACTAATATTAAAATATCGGTGATCCATATCAATAATTCATTTGCTTCAAGCAGCCTGCGTAAAGAAAATTAAATATAAATTAAAAGTTATAAAAATAAAATATTTTTAAGTATTGGTAATAGTTACCAACTATTTGATTTAATCATCAATTGATTGATTTGTCATAGTAAGAAACTCTACAAACATAATTGAAAAAGCACAATTAACAAACACAAATAAAGTAAACATTGTTCATCTAATAAGATTTAATTATAAGATTTACTAATTTGTTTAAAAAAATTTAATTAATTCAATATAAAAAATTTAAAAAATTATTTAGATTCGGTTCTTCGGTTCTTGGTCTAGAACCGAGAACCGACCAAAACCCATCAGTTTTGGATTCAGATACCTGTTCGGGTATTTAACTTATGAAGCACCGCTCGATTCGGTTCGGTTCGGTTCGGGAGTTAAAAAAACACAATTAACAAATACAAATAAAGTAAAAATTGTTCAACTAATAAGATTTAATTATAAGATTTACTAACTTGTTTAAAAAAATTAAAAAATTTTAATTAATTCAATATAAAAAATTTAAAAAATTATTTAGATTCGGTTCTTCGATTCTTGGTCCAAAATTGAGAACCAACCCAAACCCATCGGTTCTGAATTCGGATACCCGTTCGGGTATTTAACTTATGAAGAACTGCTCGGTTCGGTTCGGTTCGGTTCGGGAGTTTTGTTCAGCCCCACAAATAGTGCACTTGCAAGCATGCTTGGGGTAAAAAAGAAACAAAAAGGAAAAATGTGAAAGGCTCAAGAGTCCAGGCTCCCCAGTTATTGGTGCCTGTTTATTCTCTCTCTGCAGCAGGGTGGTTTTGAATCGATTTCTTCCTACGTTTGAGGCTTTACCATGAAAATTTCATGTATGACATTGCAGTTGAAAACCCTTTCACGTACATTTCCCCAAGTCCAGAACTCCTTGAATATAATTAGTGAAAAATTAAAATAATTACTTAACAAGTAGCATACAGGCTATCTGATCATACGCTTCCAGAAGTTGATGAGAAATATCAAGAGGCTGTTATCAATTTTGTCAGTTGACTTCAAGTGTGCAGTCCAGAGTATTTAATTGGAAACTGCCAACCACCTCTGTTTCCCCTAGGTCATCAAGTTTCGTAGTTAGACGGGGCATTGCAATATGATATCAAGATTTTGTACTGTGAAACATGTCGTGCTTATTGTACTGTTTTTGGGTTACAAATTCGCTGGAAATTGACAGAATTGATGGTTATTAAGAAATTCTGCATTGATTTTACATAATCTTATAATTGAATATATGGATGTCCTTTAGTCCTTTTGATCCTACTAAGATTGTTGTATACTCAACAAGGCACCAAGTCTTATGTCCCATATATACTTGAGACCCAACATTATATGCATCTATCGAATTCTGCTGAGGATTGAACAAGTGTAACTGAAAATTATAAACATGACTGCTCTTCTATTAATCTACTTGCCTACTCTATGAACAAAAACCACTTGAAAGACTCGTAAAAAAAATAATGTTGATCAACTTCAGATGGACCTTTGTAAACCTAGAGGGAGAAATTGTAATGTCCAATTAATCTTAAGAAAATATACTGCCTTTTTATCTTATCTTATTGTTTGTTTGCAGGTGCAGGTGTCATCTGGATTCTAAACAAATAGGGTTACATTTATACATTAATTTGTTTTTGGCGGGCGATGGACACTGCAATTCAATTTCGCAGCTGTACATATCAAGTTTGCTTGCTTGTAGCAATCAGTAATATATTTAAGATTTAACTTCTTTGTACTAATATATTGTTTCATGTCAAAAATTTCATTTATTGGCGGATTTTTTTTGATAAAATACTAATTGATAAGCTATCTTTGTTACTGAGTAAAACTTGAAAGCAAAAAGATTTGAAGTTGATACTTTATTTTTTGAATCAGTTATTTTGATGTTGCTGGCACAGATCGACGTTTGCTTCTTTTGCAAACATTAATATTGTCATTATGTAATCTCATGTTAACATAATTTCTTTTTCTAAGATAATATAAAATTGAGTAGTAGAAATGAATTCTGGTGCTTCATATCTCAATTTGTCATTTCCCTTCTGCTTCATGATCAAATAATAACAGATGGTAGTCCCTATTCTTCTGCATTATAACAGTTTTTGCACAATTATTTGGTGAAACTTTTTATTATTATTTCTCTTTTGGGATGATTTATATATAGCAAAAAACCAGATGAAACACCACATCAAAATTTGGAGCCATGTCCAATTCTCTCAAGAATGGACGAACCACTCTTCATTCTAGTCTCTGGGTCCCTTTCTCCCTTAACTAAAAATATTGATAGTTGGGTATGGTAGCGCAGGCATTGTGAAAAAAACTAAGATTTTGTATATTGCACTGTTTAATTTAATTTTATCGAGTATTGAAAAGAAATTTTCTTTACAATATTTATTTCATATTACTTTTCTTAATATACATTCTCCCCTCCCCTCCCCTCCCCTCCCCACACCCCCCACCCGACACGCAAGTTTTTAGAATTTGGAGTTATCTTGAGAAGGCACAACTTCTTGTGGGTCTCCCTGCAATAGATTGCACGATGTACAAGTTAATACAGATGTGAGTGTAACAATCTTGACATTGCATCGATTGTGTTATGATACATCCCTATTAAATGCTTCTTAAATCAATGAAAAATAGCCACACGAATCATTTTGTAGCAATTTCCAATAAAATACTAGGATTTTGAATAATGGACGATTTTATATCTCAAACTTGCAATCTTCTAGCCTCCTATGAACAAGTTAAGCAATTTCAAACGGTTCCTTGTTTTGCACAAAATATGGACATACAAACGATTTTACAGAATTTAGAATATGCAATCATTCATCCATACTCCCTCTTCCTATCCACGCTCTCTTTTCTCAATTCTCAATCTACATTTATGTAGCACTGCTATCTATCCATACTCTATATTCCCACGTCCTTTCCTTAATGGCTTTCCTCTTTCTCCCTCTATTTTTCATCCTCGCATTCCCTTTAACCATATTGACCACCTTCACCTGGCTACTACCCCAGTTCCAAGTTCGGGTCTATGGCCTTTAACCAAGGATAGAGGAACCTATGGGGTCCCGCCCATCAGTGTAGACAATAATGGCATAACCATTTGGCTTGATAGAACCTCAGATCTTACCATCTTCCAAGTTATGCTGGCTTTAGAGTCCTGGCTAAAGAATACCTGGTGGACTAGAAATTTATTTGGAGTAGGGCTTAGTTTGTTGTTGCTGTATGACATTTCTTGAAGAATTCTTTTGACAGGAAGCGGGTTCAAGTCAGTTAAACCCCGGGTAATTTGGCACCTCCATTAAGCTACAACCTGGTTATACTGCTGGAGTGATTACACAGCTTTTTATGTAAGAACATCCAAAGCATGCTTGGTAGATATTACTCGATGGTTAAATTTTTTCGTTCCATATTGTTTGGTGTTGTTGAATTTGTCTTACCAAACATGCGATCACAGTAATGATTAATTGGTGACTAAATCTAGTTAATTAAATTATTGTTGCTTATGAAATGGGTGTAATCACTTTCTGGGAAATTTCACGCAAATTCCCTTTATATTTCAATTAACTCGTAGGACCCTTTCTTGTTCAGGAGAATATTGGCAAACAAAGAAAAATAAATAATATAACGCACAAATTAAACGGACTGTCAAAACTTTTCACTGTATGAAAAGTTGCATAATCATATAGAATTTTTCACTCNGTCAAAACTTTTCACTATATGAAAAGTTGCATAATCATATAGAATTTTTCACTCACCATCCCAATCTCTAAGTAAACCAAAGAAAAAAAAATCAACAACAGGCAGCCCCCCTTTTCATTCCTGTCTGCCCGCCTGTGGGCCTATATATATATTCCAGCAAAGCAGTTACCAGTCAGAGAAGACGAAAGAAACACAGCCTTTATCTGCCAACATGTGTGTATATATATTAATCTATAGCCACCACGGTTGACTCCAAGAAAAGATTTCTTCTTCTCTACTCTCTTTTCTTCGCTTTTATACGTTCCAGCACCAAAGACAGCCGCCCTTTTTTCTTTTGTTTTCACTTATAGGATCTATAATAACCTTTTATTATTTACGGTAAAGGTACTCCAACTTTGAATTTTGAGTGAATTACCTAATAATTACAACTTTCAAATAATGAAGCTCGCCCGGGGTATCACGATGAGGTTGATATCGAGTTTCTTGGGACAACATTTGGAAAACCTTATACGTTGCATTCCAATGTTTATATCCGAGGAAGTGGAGTTGGTAAGTCTATTGGGAGAGAGATGAAGTTTCATTTATGGTTCGATACGACCCAAAACTTTCATTAATATTCGCATTTACTTAATTTGGATTTAATTCGAACTGTACCTTATATTTTTGTAAACTTCAAGATTCCTAGTTTGATGATCTGTCAATATGAAGGTATACTAGGAAGATTGTCGCCACGTTTCCTTTAAGACCAATGTGGGTTTATGGATCCATATGGGATGCATCATCATGGCAACTAAAGATAGAAAATACAAAGTCGATTATCGATACCAACCATTTGTCGGAAAATTCACCAACTTCAAACCAAGTGGCTGTTCTGCCTATGCACCAGCTTGGTGTCGGCCGGTGTCAGCCTCTCCGTTTCGTGCTGGTGGCCTTATTAGACAACAATCCAGGGCGAGGCAATGGGTGCGAAATCACTATTTGGTATACGACTATTGCAAGGACTATAATAGAGATCATTCTCTAACACCGGAATGCTGGCCTTAATTGATGTATTATAAATTCAGTCATATGTCCATTCATATAATGTCAGTCAATGTATGTTTTCTAGTAAAAGTTTTATGGTGGTGTCTGCAGATGTATGAAGGATCCCACTTGGCAACAAATGGTAGTCGAGCGTCCGAGCCATCGAAAATTGAAAATTGATATTTTTTCATGCATTTTATACTGGTGGCACGAAGAAAAGTGTGAAAGAGTGCATTATTTTGTTTGTCATTTCTTAATAAAGCAAATTAAAAGATCTTTTTGTTATTTTAATGTAATATGCTTTTTTTCGATAACCCATTTTTCACAATTTTTAAAAATACGCATGAACTTCGAATGAAGGGAACATAAATGAAAATGAATCAGACCAGAATTGGGTTATATGTAAGTGTGTGACATGAGTAAAAACAAAAGGCAACTAAGGAAAGCAAAAAAAAATAAAACTCGTACCCAACCCAATCCAACCGAACCAAACCCTGAATGAAGACTCCACCGAAGCCATAGCTTCAGTCCCTTCATCCCGCTGCACGTTTCAACTCCTTTCTCTTCCACTGCTCTAAGAATGCTGCTGCTCTATCTTGTATTCCATCAGATCCTAGAATTACGTTTTCCATTGTTTTTCTCAATGCATCGATGTTTCAATTTAATAATTATGCTCCTTAATAACCACATTGTACTTAATTTCCCAGAAACTAACTACATTACAATTATAAGCTAGCAATCTACAAATCTTATATGCTTCTGTCCAATGTTTAGTATTCTTCTGAGTTAAACTTTTATTGTTGGCCATTTTGACATTCTGAACTAATTTTCAGACAGACTTCTCGAATAACTCTCATTCTTTGGCACTCCTCTATAACAATTGTCTAGGGATATAATTTTACATTTTTCTGTGATTTCCATGTATAGTTCCTGTCATTTTTGTATATGATATTTTTCTGCTGGTTCCATAGCTGTTGAGAATCAGCTGGGGTCAACATTGTGCAGAAGCTACATTCAATAGGTAGGGCTGTTTGCCTGTTTCGCAACTTGCTGTCACCCGAAATGGTGCAAGTTATCGTGGCTTTAAATTTTGTTATAGAATAATTTCTGCGTCCTTTTGGTGTTGACATTTGCACTTGCAATCTAGTATGGTTTACATAATTAGAGAGGGGAACAATGCATTAGAGGATCTTGCAAAAATTGGATCTTTTGTGTAGGGAAGGATATTGATATTAAAAAAAAAAAGCGTAGAAAAAAGTGTCCCATGGCATGAAGACGATTCTTCACTTTTCATCGTCTGCATTTTTTAAAAGTTTGATTTGCGAGGATACCCAAGATAGCCACTGGCCGGTTTAAGGCATTACAATTTTTCTGTTCATTGTCTTCTAGTAAAGGAGCAATTAAAAAGATTTTTTTTCCAACATATAATCGCTAGAATATATATTAGAACGTTCCATATTAAATGATGTTTGCTTATGTTCTTTAATATGTGTACAGCAGTTGTATGAGCTATATACTTATGTCATATTGGCAAAAAATGTTCAAATGTTTGAGCTATATTAGTCTATATAAGACTCTTCTTCACTCATTTATTTTTTATGGAGAGATTAGTGTTGACCCCAAAAAATGAATTCAAGAGATACCGGGCCCACTCACGCTAAGTCAAGTACGATTCTGACGCGTTCCTACCGGGATGATGACGGTAGCACGGAGAAGGTGGACGCGAGAGGTGCTTTAAGGCGAAAGACAAAAATGTTCAAGCTCCGGTGGGTGCAACAAAAGCAACCGCACTAACAATGATTGCCGGATGGAAACTAAACCAATCTCTGTAATAACAAAGTAGGAATATGTAGAATGATAGATAAAATGTTCATATATCTTTCTCTTTTTGATTTTCAGTCTATATTGTGAATGTATGGTTATTCCTCTTTTTCTTGACCGTCCTCTTCCTTTAACTACAAAGGAAGACCTATTTATAATGCATTGGCTGGTGTGGTGACCGTTGGATCGGAACTACGTGGCCTCATCCCCCTAACTAAGGCCTCACATCTCTGTCTATTCGTACAATTAATATATTGATAAAGAGTCAGTCGTTCTATACAATAGGTTGACATACTGACAAACTTTTATTACAAGTGTCATGTCAATCACTTCAGATAGATCTTCACATCTATTTCGAGAGGCACCGTTGGCCTCATGAGCCTCGGATGAATTGGAGACAACTTCGGGGAGATCTGAGGTCCTCACCCACATTACGCAGCTTCATCATTTGTAGAAGTGTGAGGGCCTCGGCCTGTTCCCCTTTACTGGCGTGTATTGCTTGCTGGGTGTTCTTTTGACTGGTGTGTTTGGCTGCCCACGTGTCGTGCCACGTGGCTTCATTCCACGTAGGATCGAATTTTGGCTGCATCCAAACTACTTCGTCATACCCACTACCATCCTCAGAACCGAGGTACTCCAACCAGCCTCAATAGCCCTCGTGTGACTATCTACGCTGACCGTTGCTTACGTGGCAATCTGACGTGGGACTTTGGATTTGAGGGGTAACAATTAGTTTCTTCTATTCACTTGAAGGTGGTTCATAAAGAAATTCCGCAACTATTAAGCAAAGCACAGCGGGATTTCCAGCCCTTGTATCCCAATCAAAGTTGAATATTGGAGACATTTTAATATTTGATCTGTTGGCTTGGTTTCATGGTCAACTTCATATTGACATTCTTCCCAAATCCAGGTGGATTCTGTTGCAGAGGAAGTTGAGAGATGGAAGTCAACAAATGATATGGTAAACTGTTGCAATCTCTTGCAAGAAAACTGAAAAAAGATTAAGAGAGATTGCTCCTTCAATGATTTCTTAGTTTATAAGCATTATTGACCTTTTTTATGAATGTGCATGAACCTTAAGCTGCTTACTGTAGCCTGTAGGTGTTCATGTATGGAGGAGTTGGTCCTTCGCCTTCACATATCACTCAGTTGGAGTTGCTAAAGCATTTGGTGTCTGCATGGTGCGTTTTATCTCTTTTTAGTATTTCAAAAATTTCGATTTTGACTCTTCTGCATAATTTAAAGCGATTTCAGACTTTCATCTTTTTTGGAATTTTTCGAAGTTAATGATTCCCTACCTGATATTTTTCATTTTTTTTCTGTCCTTGTTAACAGTATTATAACTGTCCAAGTTATTGTGTGTATATATATATATCAAGCTCTAATATGTTCAATTACCTATTACAGGCCCCTGATGAATTTGAGGGATATTTACTGCATCTCATAGGTGAAAAGTGCTCTGGGGACAGGAATGAGGTAATATGATTCCAAAAGTTTTATATGGTCCCGGGATTCACAATTGATTTAAACAACTATGCCAGATGAATTGTGACATAGAGGTTGACAGATTCCTAGATGGATGGAAATGATGACAACGTGCCTGAGGGGATCACTGAGTTGCTGCATCATGACAATTGTTTTGAAGCTCCCTTGTTCTTGTGAAGTAAAGTCAGATTTAAAAATTTCAGATTCACCTGTAATCTGAATATGCGCTAGTGGATTCTTCTACTGTGTGCAACACTTCAGTTAACTTCCAAATCCTTTCGTTCTTTTATTGTCTAGTCGATTGTTCTTTTATGGTTTTGCCGATGCCTTGATTGGCAAAGGTTGAAACCCTGTGATTTTGAAAGGAGTGTGTTGTACTGAAAGCATACGCGGTGAAAACCTAAAAGGTGCAGATGTAGCCTTGATTCCTCAGTTTATACTAAAATTAGCACGTTGTTTTGATGTGATCTTCAAATGGACACACATAATCTAGACATAGCTTGTGCAAACATATCTGGTACAGTTTATATATGGCGGTTTAACTTGAAAGTTATATGCAATGCAGGTTGAAGCTGCTCAACCTCTTTCAGAAATTTCAATTCAATTTCCAGATATTTACATTGGTAAGAATCTTCTTATATAAGTTTTTATTTTTTCTTTTTACTAACTGATTTTCCCCTTTCCTTATCTAGAAATGGGCCTCTCGTTATTAGTTTTGAAGGAAAGGCAAGGACGTCTACTCTAGGATGCGTACGGCTTGTATATAAGGTGGATAGTATTCATATGGCACTAGAAAATACTGAGGGAGAAAAGAAGTTTAAATTTTGTTTGTCATACTGTGCAGCCCTATCCATTATTGCCGTACCAAACATGCCTTTTGTGTAGTGATTATAGCATTTGGAGTCGGTTTTTACAATTATCTCGAATTCTTGCAGGATCAAGGGAGAAAAAAGCAACCGCAGAAGCATTATCCAAAAACTTAAATCCAGAGGCACTTTCAGACATTGACCGACTGTGGAGCCATTCTCTGGTTTAAATGAACAAGTTCACCATGATGGCTTCCATTGAAAGAAGACACCATACTGGCCAGGATGTTTACATCTGAGGTTAAATGTTGTGTGGAAGAATTTTTGGACTTTCCATTGGTATGTGTCATGTCCCAGTTAGAGGGACTTGAGAATGGAAGAGAAGGTGCAAAAAGAAAAAGCGGCTTTGCGGAAAAAAAATCATTATATTTAAAGCGCGAATAGTTTTACAGCATGTTTGGTACAAATAGATATTACAGTGAATAAATACACAAGTTTCATTTCTTCTTTATTTCAAAGCATTAATCATGTAACATTAACTTGGATTTGGTAATCTCTTTGATGTTCTTTGCTTCAACTAATGCTCCTCATTGGCCTATGTAATTCTCTTTGTTTTCAGTTATGTTACTCGGCAAAATTTGTCACAAAAAAAGTCATTTTGTTTCTTATGTTTCTCTCTCTTTTGTATCATCGTTATTTTGCTACCTTTGACGTCTAAATTGACAAGACAATTTTTGGTCAATAATTAAGAGATCCACAAAAAAAATTTCAAATATAGGCATCATAGAGAGTGGTCGGTTATTGAGGGTGGGGTGAGTGCTGCTACTCTTGCAATTATGAGGTCCCATTTTTTTTTTTATTTGATCTCAAGGGAAAATGGAAATTGTCTTATCATGCAAATTTATTAATGATATTTTGAGAGAGTTTTTATTATTTGCACCAACAAATGACCTTTGAGGAGTTTAATGTCAAGAAAACAGAGGTTGGGGATGCTGCAACAGGGACGGACTGGACCGGCCACCGGGCCGTTAATTTTTTTAGTGTAACTTAGCCTAAAACACTTTCGAGCCCTTCATGTTTGCATTGTTCCTCGACTAGAAATCTATGGCTAAAAGTATAGATTGCTCAACAAGTTTACTTCAATGCAGCAAATGTTAACATGAAACAAACCGTAAAAAATATTAATACACAGAAATAAATCTGCCTTTCATAATTCAACTTGAATTGAAATGGTTCAAAAATGATCAAATGGAACAAATGAGAATAATTCCCTAACAAGGGAGTTACAATAGAAAAGAACGAAAAAGAAAAAAGACAACAAAAACACACACTCCAGTCTCGCCGCGCCATAATGGAGTCCTAGAAATGAATGGTAAAGTTGATATGCCCAATGAACCTTATTCTTTAATCTGTAATCAGTTTGATTTCAACATGAAATCAACTTGAGGAAACATTGTCTAGCTGGTAAACCATGTACTCATGCTTTAGGCTTTAGGATCTCGACGACTTCCCAGGTGAAATCGGGATCATCACGGCCAAAATGACCATAAGCAGCAGTTTTTTGGTACCTTAAGTTGCCTCCTCTCAACAAGTCAAGATTGATGGCGATCATTCCCGGCCTGAAGTCAAACTTCTCCTTAATAAGAACCAGTATGTCCTTGTCGGGAATCTTACCTGTCTTGTAGGTATCAACAAACACTGAAAGTGGTTCAGCAACACCAATTGCATAAGAAACTTGCACAATGCACCGGCGAGCAAGCCCCGAAGCCACCACACTCTTCGCTGCCTGCCTAACAATGTAAGCACCACTCCTATCCACCTTTGTAGGATCCTTTCCGGAGAAAGCACCTCCACCATGAGCACCCCAACCACCATAGGTGTCAATGATAATCTTTCTACCAGTGAGTCCTGCATCTCCATGGGGTCCACCAATAACAAATCGACCAGATGGGTTGAGGTGGAAGATCGTGTTTTCATCAAGGTACTGAGCAGGGATGACAGGCTTGATTACATGCTCTTTCAAATCAGCAGCAATTTCTTCATTTGTTACGGTCTCATCATGTTGGGTTGAGATAAGAACTGTGTGAACTCTAATAGGAACCATTGCACCACCATCATTCCTGTACTCAACAGTAACTTGGGTCTTGCCATCAGGTCTCAGCCATGGGCAAGTCTTGTTCTTTCTTACTTCAGTGAGCTTGGCACCAAGCTTGGTGGCAAGGACATGAGTGAGGGGCATGAGCTCCGGTGTTTCATCAGTGGCATAGCCAAACATGTGACCTTGGTCACCAGCTCCAATTTCCTCAGGTTTCTTGGTCAGATGACCATGAACTCCCTGGGCAATGTCAGGGCTCTGTTGCTCGATGTTTACAAGCACCTTGCAGTTGTCCGCATCAAGACCAACATCAGGTGATGTGAAGCCAATGCCCCTGCACGTATCTCGAACTATCTTCTCATAGTTTACATTGGCCTTGGTTGTGATTTCTCCGAAGACCATGACCATGTTAGTCTTTGTGCAGGTTTCACAAGCAACTTTGCTCTCTGGATCTTGCTCTAGGCAAGCGTCAAGAATGGCATCTGAGACTTGGTCACAAAGCTTGTCAGGATGGCCTTCATTGACAGACTCTGAGGTGAAAAGGAAGGTTTCCATGTCCGCTCTGAAAATCATACAGAGAACGTATAAATATATGTGCTAGACATTTGATAATTCAAATAATAACAAGCTTGTGTATTATTTCCATATTAGATGTGATGCTACTCAAAACAGTAAATAATGCCACCCCTAAAGATTTATACATCTCAATATATTCTCAAAATGATTGAACGTTTAAATTTAATAGGCAAATTGCATACTACGTAGCTTATATGAACAAATTTAAATCATGATTGTAATGTCACCAAACTACAGCTTTACAACTCCTACAAATTTCATGGAAGAAATTGACATATCAATTGGTTTCTGAAACAAGGTAGATCAATATGTGGTCGTGTTCTTGCACTTGTATGTTGGATTTTACATTTTGACGCACCACATTTTTCCTCTTAACAAGAACAGCATCCCACCTTGTAACATAATTAATGCTCCAGACAACAAAAATTAGGGGGGAAAATCAGCAAATTGTAAAATTGAAATTGCGCTACGATATGTTTTCTTGAAAACTACACGACATTAGTTCGAAACTCTCCTTTTCTGTTTAGAAAAACTGAATTATCTATTTCTATGAGTTGAAAGTAATCACATTGAAATCAGATAACACTATTCAACATCGTCTACTGAACACTGTAAGATGTTGAAATACGATCCGCCAAAACAAAAATCACTCAATAATTTTTACAGTTCTTTCGATATGCAATCATATAATACTTTTGCCAGGAAAAAAAATCAAAAATAAAAAATTCAAATCTCTGGTCAAACATTGAAATCCAGATCCTTCACTGAAAAACAATTTCTTACCCACAATGCGATCTACATAGAACATACAACGGGGATCAAGAGAACATTACGTAATTAGTACAATCAATGTTGAGTAAAAAAAAAAAAAAAAAAAAAACTGGATCTAAGCAAGCACATACTCGCTGTTACCGGATCTGAATCTAATTGAAAAAAAATTCATAATTGCAAGAGCATGAAACCTGCTTACCTTAATGTAAAAAAACAAAGTTGAGATCTGCAAAGAGATTAATGGTAGAAAGAGGAAATGGAAAAGTGCGTGGTTGTGTATAGATGCAGCGATTATATATATAGGCCGATGTAATATAAAATAAGGAAAAAGCCATGCAGGTGAGGTAACTCGCTCATCCTCTCTGTACCAACTACCCAACAGAGCCTGTCGACCTATTGTGGTGGGTCCAGCTGTGCAGTGATCTACGGCTAAGATTGGTCGGCATCTTTTCTTTCTATTTTCAATTATTGGTAAACGGTGGGAAGTAATTGTCAAATAGATAATTT